CGTTTGGTGCACCGAGATATATGTCGGGGCTATATCCTAATCAGAACCCATCTTGACAAAATTTTAAACCGAAGATTGTTGTTGTGGAGGGCATATTACGTATTTGAGGGACTTTCACACCAGATCGGATGAAACATATATATGCCTATATGAGAACCAATTTTCACCTAATTTGATGTGATATTGGATATATATATTTTTTTTTTTTTTCGAGTAGTATCTGGAGCTAGGAGCTTTATCTAAATTTGTACCGATTATCACCACTTTAAATAGGGCAGATAAACCTACTGACATGCATAAATCAGAAAGTGATTCTGATTTTGAAAATCTTCCAAATCTTACAACTGCTCTTATAAACATTTTCTACTTTTTCGTTCATGTAAAACGAAAGCATAACTATTGAGCTTACGATCTCGTCACTTGGGTAATAAGGTTTTTTTTTTTTCATGGTTAGAAAAAAAAGGAAACTGATGAGGATTTGTGGCTCTTTTCGAAATCTAGGTATTTCCTGCCTTACCCCCTGGTAAACATTAACATCGTTCTCCACTAATAAACAAACGTTGTTTTAATAAAAACAACAATAATGGGATTAAGCCTGACCATTTTGCAACAATATTTGAATTGTCTCTATGTTAAGTCATCGCCAATTAAAGATAATTTTAATATTTTATATTGCTTTATGATCTTCCAACACAATTTCTAAACATAGAGCCATATTTCCATATCGCGCCGCAAATTAAATATTGTATACAATCTTAATTTTATGAATAAAATCACTTTTGCCAAGAATAGTCCAAGATAATTCATAACCTTCTATATTTTCTTTCATTCATAATAGATTTTACGTTTTCTCTTATAGATAGATTCCCTCATGCATACAACTTGTAACATGCTCAGCTTATTTTCAGCTAAGTTCTATTATCATATTTGCCTATGTCATCATTATATTGTCGTCCACTTCTTTTTAAAAATCATTTTCTACTTCAGTGACAACTGAAAAAAAATTGTGGGAAACACCATCGCCGCAGTAGGTCTACAATGTGGGGTTACTGTTCGATGTTTAACTTTCGCTTTTCTTTTGAGTTGAAACTATGTTTCGTGCCTTTGAATTTATGTTTGTGAATACCATGACAATTATTATGTAAATTTAATGTTTTGTTTCCATTTTCTTCTACATTGAATCTAGCCGATAGATAGATGTGTGTCGTGAGTGTTGAAATATGTATTGATCACATAATTTGTGTGTGCATGTGGCTGGGGCTTTCACGATAGCTAATGAAAATAACAACTATTTGTGGGGGGATTCCAAGGTAAAGTTTGTAATATGGAAATATTTTTGAATTTTGTAGAGCATTTTAATTTCTAAATACAAAAAACGTGGCAAAATGAATGATGGAAGAAAAACTACAAAATATAAAATATTTTCAAATACATTATAAAGACTCAACGTTAAAGGACATATTTTATCGGTTCCGACAAAATTTCATTTTTTAGAATTTTGAATATTTGTATTACTTTAGAAAACATTGATCAACCACGATGATTTTTAGAAAATATCTATGTACCTCTTAACCATGTGTTTGTTTTTTCATTCTTAAACTAGCAGTAACCTGAACTTAATATCAACAATTCACGGACAATATAAATCAGCCAATGACAATAACACAGACATGGATTGGATTTTTTACCATTTCTAATTTTTGAATTATAACAATGAAGAATGTAATTGGGCACAAAAATAAACCGAAGAAAAATAAAACGCTGCGCGTGACCAACAGACCGTAGAAATTTTAAAACAAAGCACAAACAATTGGAAATTACTTTTGTCCAGTTGAAATGAAATGTATTTTTCTTGGCTGTTTTTTTTTTTTCATTCCTACATTTCTCTTAATTTTTTCTTTTACAAAAGAAAGTAGAAATTGATTTAATATACGACATATTTTGAACGCTACACGTTTGGGCATGTTTAACATTTATTGGTTTCAAACCAAAAATTCTCCATTTTAAAGTTGGTCTGGTTTTTCAATAAAAAAGTTGAGTTCTGGTTACGGTGCTCGGCGCGATCCAAACTATCCTCTAGTTGAAGCAGTTTATGTCGACATATTTATTTTATGCATTTGGCTCTAGCTCTAACGCCAAGTTTCCTCGTTAAAAGGTATACAGGGTTGCCCATATTCGACGGACCCATCTGGTAACGCCATAACTTTTGACAGAGATGTCACATCGCTTAATGACATACCGCGTTTGAAGCGTCAGTCCAAGCAGATTTTTACCATAAACCAATACACGCCACGCGAGCGCTCTGAAATAGTTGAAATTTACATTCAACAGAAGAAGTCAATTGTGAAAACTCAACGTGCTTTTAGAACATTAAAAAATGTGAGAAATGCGCCTTCTAAGAACACCATTAAGCTTTTTTACGAAAAATTTTCGACTGGTAAGGCTCTTTCTAATCCGAAGAGGCCATATAAAAGTCGATCGGCCGAGAATATCGCTGCCGTACGAGCCAGTGTTGAGAGGTCCCCAAGAACATCCCAAAAACGCCGTTCTCAGCAGTTGGGCATGGCTCGGTCCACTTTACAACGGATTATTCGCATTGATTTGCATTTGTTCCCGTACAAAATTCAATTGACGCAAAGAATGTTGCCTGCGGACAAACCTCGTCGATTGGAATGGGCCCATGGGTCCGTCGAATATGGGCAACCCCTGTAAGTCAGTTTCCCTACTTCATTAATTTCTAATTTGTTACCATTTAGATCCGATTTCGAACATAATCCATGCTTTATGTGTCAATAGAAATTGCAATTTTTGATTTTCTACAAAAAGAAAGTAGTTTTGAATTGTGCAGATATTTTTTTCAAAACATAGGCATATACAGGGTGAGATAAAATAACTGCAACCAACTTCAGACTGCTGTCATATCAAAGAGACTCGTCCGGCTGCTGTTAAAATTATTTCAGTTCATTATATTGTTCACAAGCTTACCAAAGCATTTTGGTGAGAATTTTCCAGAAAAAAAAAAACATATTCGTGATGAAATTCATGCGTGATAGTGTGATTTCTTTATATTTGGCTGGAAAACCACAAGTGGCTATCGTAGAGCACTCCAGCATTTAAATGTGAATAAATCTTTTGTGCCTCGTACCATTGCTCGTTACCGTGATACTGGTAGCGTAGCCCGAAGTCAAGGAAGTGGACAGAAGAAAACAGCAACATCAGCAGATATGGTTCGAAGAGTAAAAAAGCAACTTGATCGAAACCCGCATCGTAGTGGCCGAAAATGGCTCGTGAGCTGAACATATCGCAATATCCCATTCGGCAAATATTGAAACATTAGGTCGGCGTAATGGCTTTAAGTACAGGAACTTACACTGCAACAGAAAGAAAATAGACTCAAAAGAGCTAAAAAGTTGCTTCGTTTGGCCAAAAGTTGTGAACTGCCGAATTTAATTTTCTCCGATGAGAAAACGTTCGTTGTCCTGCAGTTTGTAAACAAATAAACTGATCGTGTTTACTTGCCAAAGAGTCAGCCGAAAATATGCACCTTCGTTGACCAATTCGAACAAATCTAAACTTATTCTAAAATTTGATGCTATTTCCGACATGTTTTGCTTTTATTCAAGAATATTAAAAGAAAATGTAAAAATTATGGCATTTGACTTTGTTGCAGTTTTTTTAATAAGGCCAAGTTTACTTTTTAAGAGGTAAAAGTCAGTTTGCCGACTTCATTAATTTTTAATTTTTTACCATTTAGGTCCGTTTTTTTTTTTTTTAATTTAATCTATGAATTATGTGTTCATAGAAATTAAAATTTTTTTGATTTTCTGCAAAAGTAAAGACGTTCTAAATTTTAGAAATTCCATATATTGCCTGATATATCCGAATTTTTTTTCCGAATTCCAAGTTTCCCATGTTTTTGAGATTTTGAAAAAAAGTATTTTATTAGAATGATCGTTTTAGTTTCTTCTTATAGATGGGTTAGATTTTTTATTTTTGAAAAATTTAAATTGAACATTTTTTGAAAATTGTGAATTTTTGTTATTTGTGTTTGTTTGGAAAGTAAACTATGAATCCTATTTTCGAACATAACCAAACTTCAATGGAAATATTAAAAAGAGCTGAGTTTGATGAAAATCACACGCATTTTCACATTTAATGCGTATTTTTTTTATATTCTTTTTATAAAATAAGTCTTTTATGATGTTAAAATCTAGTTTATGTCGTGAACTTCGTCCGCCTTATAGGGGATTGCTGTACCGCAAATATAGAACTTATATGACATTGGTTGTAATACTGAAATATTTTATGAGAGAAATTATATTCCAAAATTTTTAACTTTTTATTGGGGGCGTACGGGAAAATATTGACAAATGCTATCCACGTTGCTGACTAACTACATCATCGTAAATACTTTCCAGGCAGATGCCATAAATTTGATGATATGAGGGCTGTATCTTTTGTAATTGAACCTTAAACTCCAGATTCTGTAGATCCACGTAAGTTCGGTCATAGAATAGTTGTGGGAACTCTGTAGCCAACGGTAACACACAGGGAAGTATTGCAACGAAACTAAGCAATCAATCCGTTGGGTTCATGGTCTTCTAAATAGTACACCTGGCAATTTTCTGCAATAATATATGTATACAGTTTGGATACACACATCTTTCCAATCCCAAAATAACAATGGTAAGAACTAGATTTTCTTCGACTTTTTGATTTTAAAAACGTGTACACCAACTGTAGAGTACTATTCTTACTTTTGTCACTTGACGATGAAAATATTTTTAGCTATTCGGAAAATTGTCTCACTCGAATGGAAATTGTAATGATAATTTTCTCTTCGGCAGAAAGAAAACAGCTTGATGTGGTCAAAGGGATGGGCGGTCATGGTACATGCTTTTGACTTTTTTGACATATATCTCTTTCCAATGCCATCAGATAGAAGGCCTTTTTGTATAAATTAGAAATATTTTGAAATGATTGAATTAGTTGACAATTAGTAAAAGAACGTGCATCAGACGTCATCAATCAAAGTGCTCGTACTCTGATTGCTGGTTATCCGGTTGAAGCGAAAAAAAAAAAAAAAACAAAGATAAAAAGAATGCTGAAAAAATTTGTGTTATTTTATTTAAAAATTCATCTCATGATCCTGCTGTGTCAGGCTTCCCTGCCTGCGGACACCGAAAACTCTAACAATGCCGATGATTGTCTAAACAACTCATTGGAAGCGGTGATATGGTGCCGGGGTTCCAGGGCTTTAAAAAATGCCTTAAATAATTTAAGTAAAACAAATAAACCCGTTGTCATAGTACGTGGCTTAGAGTTGGTACCTTCTGCGGCGGCAAGACAAAATCAACATTTGACAAATTACACCTCAGATAATGACGCCAGCAACAACAACAATCAGGCGAATGGGAATTTGATAGATAATACTGTCGATGATGGTGACACCGATGACACCTTCCTGGGACGTTTTTCCCGTTACCTGGGAACGCATGAGTTGAATATAAAATTCTCGGATTTATTGGCGGATGTCAGTGAACGTCGTCAGTACATGGCACGTGAACTGGATCAGAGTGGAATGCAAATGGATACAATGAGTGGAGAAGGTAAGTTGGATATGACACGCGACTATTTAATATTAACAACAACAAAGCATACCTTACTGCCATGCCAATATGTTGTTGCGGTAATTAGAGTTTATTTTATAGTGTGTCGTGTATTTTTTGTCACTACGAGGTTCGTGAGGGAAGTGTATTAAAATAGACTGGTTTAAACTGAAGGAAAGAATAACAAATTATGCAATGCTCTTTTGTTTATTTTTTAGAGAAGAGGTTTTAAGGACCCAAACTTAATTGTCGGTCCTGTGACTATATACGATGCAAAAATAAAAATAATTGCAAGAAAATTCCAGCGGATTATGAAAGTAAAATTAAAGCGAACCAGTAAGGAAAGGTCAAAAGTCGGGCGGGGCCGACTCACGTGACAAAAAGTTTATATTGGGAATTGATGTGAAGTAGATCATAGCAACTTTAAAATCCAAATAATAAAATCTATTACATTTTGGCTGATATTACATATATGGTGAGCAATAACCGTAAAATCGGAGAAAGATGTACATCGAAGCTGTGTAAAAATCTGAACTGATCTCGATAAAATTTGGCTGAGGTATTTTCGAGCAGTATCTGCTGCTCTGTATGAAATATCAATCTTGTCTATTACTTAAAACTCTCGCATATTACTTAAAACTCCAAATCCTATAAATCATATATATGGGAGCTACAGCTTTATCTCAACCGATTTTCACTAAAATTTGAAGCACTTGCTTTTAGGCTGAATTCCGTTGGAAGTGCCAAAACTCAGTCCATTTGGGCTAATATTAGCCATTTGGTGCAAAAAACCTGAAATCGGATAAAGATATATGTGGGAGCTATATCCAAATCAGAAACGATTTTGAAAAAAATTTAAACACTTATTTCTGAGCTGGAGTACATATTACGCTTGTGAGGGACTTGAAACCCCAAATCGAATGAAACATATACGTGGTGAGATAATTTTTACATGTTTTTTTTTTTTTTTTTTTTAATTTTATTGAATGAAAGCAAAAACTGTCGGAAATAGCATCAGATTTTAGAATATTACGGCCTTTAAACGGCCAATAAAACCGTCACACGCTGCCCGAATGTTGCTCTGCGGTATTTTCGCCTTCCCGTCAAAGCGCTTGCTTGATGTGATCGACACTGTGGTATTTTTTAGTGGCAACATTGCTTTCCAAAATACTCCACACACAATAGTCCAACGGGTTGGAATCTGGAGATTTTGGTGGCCATTGTACGCTGGAAATGAAGCAAGGAACCTCATTTTGTAATCATTCTTGGGTGGCGCATTCTGAGTGCAATGGCCAAAATATTTGCGTGTCCAAGGCTTTAATACACCCTTCAGAATATTTTCGCGATAATATTCGGCATTCATTCTGATGCCACGGTCGATTAATACGAGCGGAAAGCGTCCATCGGTTGTTAAGGCGGCACACACCATCACCCTGGGCCTTGAGTTCTGGTGGACAACCGAAGGTGCACATTTTCAGCTGACTTCTTTGGCAAGTAAACACGATCATTTTGTTTGTTTACAAACTGCTGCACAACGAATGTTTTCTCATCAGAGAAAACCAAATTCAGCACTTCACCACTTCTTTGGCTCTTTTGAGTCTATTTCGGGGAAACATTGTATATGTAGGTCCACGTTTTCGTGTAGCTCCCTATTATCGGCATTTTCGTGTTTTTAGCTACATTTTTGTACGAATTTGTCTAAAAATTGGTATTTGTAGTTCGTAAAGGTTTCTACTTTCGATGGGAGAACATTGAATAACTAGGTCCACGTTTTTCTATGGCGGACATATAACGGTTCCATCGGATATTCGTTTTTTGACGATTTAAGCCACATTTTCTAATAGATTTGTGTGAAATTTGGTATTTCTACAACCGAGGTCAAAACATTGTCCGTATTGGCCCTAGTCATCCTAGCCACATTTACCCACGAAATTATGTAAAATTTGGTATTGAAGGCTCGCAATAGATTACAATCGTTGTAGTATAAACTTGTCTATATAGTCTCCCATTTTAGTATGGCCCCCATATAACGGGTCCAACCATTTACAGTGGAACACGTTTGAATCCAAATATTTTTGAACAAAATTTTTTCTGTATCCAATGGTGGAGGTTATTACAATGTATTTTTATACCCTACACCATAGTATGCACCGTCTGTGGAAATCACGCTATCTTCCGAACGAAATGAAGTAGGTTGATAAAATTTTACTCATATGTTTATTATATCTGCAGGACTTTTGATATTAAAAATGGGCCATATAGGTCCACGTTTAGGTATAGCTCCCATATAATGGTACCTCCCTATTTTCGGTATTTTAGTGATTTAAGCGACATTATTCACCGGAAATGTTTCAAATTTAGTATTTGAAATTAAAAATGTATACTACAGCCTATGACAGAAAATTTTCCGAGCAGATCCACGCCTTCGTATAGCCCCCACCTCAGATATTTGGTACTTTGATGATTTGAGCGACATTATTCACCGGAATTGGTTAAATTTTGTATTTGAAGTTCGTAATAGGTACAGGGTTGTCCATATTCGACGGACCCATCTGGCAACGCCATAACTTTTGACAGAGATGTCACATCGCTTAATGACATACCGCATTTGAAGCGTCAGTCCAAGAAGATTTTTACCAACACACGCCACGCGAGCGCTCTGAAATAGTTGAAATTTACATGAAATCAATTGTGAAAACTCAACGTGCTTTTAAAATATTAAAAAATGTGAGAAGTGCGCCTTCTAAGAACACCATTAAGCGTTTATAAGAAAAATTTTCGATTGGTAAGGCTCTTTCTAATCCGAAGAGGCCATATAAAAGTCGACAAAGGCGATCGGCCGAGAATATCGCTGCCGTACGAGCCAGTGTTGAGAGGTCCCCAAGAACATCCCAAAAACGCCGTTCTCAGCAGTTGGACATGGCTCGGTCCACTTTACAACGGATTATTCGCATTGATTTGCATTTGTTCCCGTACAAAATTCAATTGACGCAAAGAATGTTGCCTGCGGACAAGCCTCGTCGATTGGAATGGGCCCAAAGGTCCGTCGAATATGGGCAACCCTGTACTACAGCCTAAGACAGAGAAGTGTCTGTGCAGGTCCACGTCTTCGTATAGCCACTATATAATGGGACCCACCATATTCGGTATTTTGATGATTTTAGCTACATTTTTTTACCGAATTTTTTTAGTCAAGTTGCCCATTTGAATATTGTAATGGTTTATGAAAGTTCCCTATGCAGGTCCACGTCGTCGTATAGACCCTAATATAACGGCTACATTCGGTATTTTTAAGATTTGAAGATAATTTTTAACGGATTTTATTTATTTATTTATTTTATTTTATTTTTTTTTTTTGAAAATTACCAAAATCGTTCCAAATGGTGGAGGGTATTCAAAGTTCGGTCCGGCTTAACTTACAGGTTTTTTACTTGTTACCTATTACATCTCTAAAAGCCATTTACATTTTTTATCCCAAAAGCTAGAAGTATTGAATATATTTCATCACCGTTACCGATACATGCGATAAATTCCTCTTCAAACCGATGTACTTTGACTAGGAGTCATCTGAACAATGGCGTTACAATTTATAGTATATATAAAAATATTCAAGAAAATGAAGTAGAAATGAATTATTCCCTTATTTTGCCATGACTCGCAGGTTTTCTTCCATTTTTTTTTAAATTACCCTCGCATACCAATTAAAATGTCCATGCGCTTATAAATTTGTCTAGCATTAATATTTAATCCAAATCAATTGACTTACTTTAATTACTCGTCGACATACATTTGCACGTACCTAAATAAATATGTGCATGTGGGCAGCAACGGGTCGTTGGACGACTTTGTGTTTTGCAGATGGTTGGATGGTTGGACGACAGCAACAACAACTACAAATACAACAAGAAAAACTATTGTCATTATTGTACTACTAAAATATTGGCACAAAAATGCCTTGGCTGTGGGAATAATTGGCTTAATTTTAATGACAGTCACGCACAATGAAATACAAACATGTTTACAACTTCCGTGTGGTGGAAGGCAGTAAATCAATTAATCATGTCGTGTGAATCAAATCAAAATGCAATCAAAAAAAAACGAAGAAGAAGCCAACGTAAATTAATTGATCAAATTATAAATATGTTTATGCGTTCAACATAGATTTCGTAATTTCCAATAAAACGTGTCATGCTTTGTTTCGTATATACGTATAGATTGGTCAATTTCAAAAAGGAAAAGAGAAAATATCTAAAAATAATGTTATACTTAAAGATACCATTAATTAAACGCAAACATTATGTGTCATATGTCTTTCAGTCAATATCCATTGGCTTTAATATGAAATTAATATGTGTATCAGTAGCAGCGATGTATAATAAACAACATGTTTGAGAAGATTTTAAAGATCTCAAGGCAATATATTTATATTAGATCTATTTTTATCGGAAGTTTGATATAATTCCTTAATCAGATCAATAATTGTGGATAATTAAAAAATCGGTTTTTAGGGTCTATCAAGTAGATTATCATAGCTTTTTATAAAATAATCTGAGCTATATTTTTTTTACTGTTCAAAAAAAATGCCACAATTTTAAATTCGATTTTTTTAAGAATTGGTTACAAGGACTATTAAGAATTTTATTGGAATATATATTTTAAGGACAATTTTTTTGAATTTTTAGTATATAGTTTTAACCGGGGCAATAATTATGGATATTTTGGAATATTTTTGAAGGACTATCAGAACTGCAATGACGTATGTTTATTCAAGCTTTTCAAGTGGTCAGCATGGACCTTTTCAAAATATTTATTTATCAATTTAAAAACAATATATTATTTTAGGAAACTGAAAACAATAATCGACATCGCATTTTTCTAAACATAGCACATATCGCATTTATTCCCCGATCCAGATGAAATTTTGCACAAATCATTTGTTTGGCCCAAAGACGAACCCTATTAAAATAATCGGTCAATATTTAGATATAGCTTTCATATATATCTTCGTCCGATTTGCATTTTTTGTGCAACAAACGTGTAATATCAGCCCAAATATTATGGAATCTCGTATATACGACCAAATTAGGCATGAAAATAAGTTTGCCCAATTTGATCGAAGTCGATTCAGATATACCTATAGCTTCAGTATATATATTTTCATCCGATTTGTTATTTTTGTCCTCCGCACTTTGTACAACAATATTTGAGAAAATATATCAAATACAGCTCATAAACACCTTTGCTAAATTTTATCTAGATCGGATCAGATTTGGATATATCTCCCATATATAACTTTGCCCGATTTGCCTTTTATTGCGCACCAAACGCGTAACATTAGCCCAAATGGGATAGAATTTGGCACATACGACCGAATTGGGTCTAGAAGCTAGTACGTCAAATTTGGTGAAAATAGGTTCCGATATAGCTATAGCTCCCATATATATTGTTCATCCGAATTTGTTGTATTTGTTACCCACAGCCGTAATATGCACTCCCTAACAACGGTATTCAGGGAAATATATCAATACAGCTCAGAAATATCTGTGCCAATTTTATCGAGATAGGTATAGATTTGGATATAGGTTCCATATATATCTTTACCAGATTTCAAGTTAATTGTACACCAAATGGACAATACAAGCCCGTATTTAAAAGATACAAATTCTTCGGCATATTTATTACTTTGAACTTTAAATTATAATTATAATCACAGCTTGTATGATTTAATTCTCCCATAAAAACTTTTAAGTACGTGAAGATCTACTAAATATATAAAGTGGTGTAGGGTATCATAAAGTCGGCCCAGCCCGAGTTTAAGACTTTCTTTACTGGTTTTAATGTGTTTTTAAGACTATCAGAGCTATAATTGGGAAGTTCTAACAACAAATTTCTAAGGACTATCTGATTAATAATTATGCGTTCTAAGAATATTTCTTCAGTGAATATTTCCGTGATACTGGTAGCGTAGCCCGACGTCAAGGAAGTTGACAGAAGAAAACAGCAACATCAGCAGAAATGGTTCGAAAAGTAAGGAAGTGACTTGATCGAAACCCGCGTCGCAGTGGGCGAAAAATGGCTCGGGAGCTTAACATATCGCAATATTCCATTCGGCAAATATTGAAAAATGAGCCATTGAAATTCCAAAAAGTGCAAGAACTTACACCGCAAAGGAAAGAAAATAGACTGAAAAGAGCTAAAGAGTTGCTTCGCTTGATCGAACTGCGCAGTGGTGAACTGTCGAACTTGGTTTTCTCGGATGAGAAAATATTCGTTGTCTAGCAGTTTGTAAACAAACAAATTGATCGTGTTTAATTTCCAAAGAGGTCAGCCAAAAATGTGAACCTTCGGTTGGCCACCAGAACTCAAGTGCCGGCCATGGTGATTCTGTGGGCCAATGGTCGCTCTCCGCTCGTATTAATCGACCGTGGAATCAGAATTAATGCCGAATATTATAGCGAAAGTATTCTGGGGGTTGTATTAAAGCCTTGGTCACGTAAACATTTTGGACGCAGACCTTGGACATTCCAACGGGACTCAGCACCATTGCACTCAGCACGCGCCACCCAATAATGGTTACAAAATGAAGTTCCTCGCTTAATTTCCAGCGCACAATGGCCACCAAAAATTTAAAAAAAGGTTATGGCGTTTGACTTTGTTGCAGTGTTTTCATCTTACCCTGTATATCTTCATCTGATTTGACCTCCAATATGAAAAATCACTCATAATTGAGAAGATTTTTGCATATTCAAGTGAAGTTATCGTGGAAGTACGAAATTTGGCGAAACTCGGTTCCCATATATCTATTGATCCGATATATATTTTTTGATATATTCTTCTTACTGACTCCGTCAATTTTCTTTACTGGTTAAATATAATCCGCCTCGAATTCTTATCATGTCCTTGTCCTTGTTCTTCTCGCCTCCGTCAAATCGAATTGGATATACCTCCCATTAATTAGTTTCATCCGATTTCAAATTACAACTGCTTTAAAGCCATAATAGACGTTCATAAAATGTTCATAGTTTACATAATCTAATTCACATAAATTTCCAATATAAACGTTTATTTGTTACAAGAAGCTCTACTAAATATGCATAGTGGAGTAGGGTATCTCATAGTCGGCCCCGTCCGACTTTCTTGTAATTGGTTCTTCATACTGTGGCACAAGATTGTATACATGGGTCCACATTTTCCTATAGCCACCATATAATCGTATCTTTCGGTCGAATTGAGATAGAATGCATACAACCTATGGCAAATTTTTTTTATGCAGGTTCACGTCTTCATATAGCTCCTATATAACGGTACCTCCCGACAGCGACATTATTTACCGAAATTATTTCAGAATTCAAATTTAAAGTTCGTAATAGGTACTACAGCCTATGAAAAATACTTTTGTACGCAGGTTCACGTTTTCGTATAGCCCCACATAACGGTACCTCACGATATTCGGTATGTTTCTGATTTCAGCGACATTATTTACCGGAATTATTACAAATTTCCTTTTTAAAGGTAGTTAAGGGTATTACAGCCTATGACAAAAAAAAATCGTAAGCAGGTCCACGTCATTGTATAGTCCCCATATAACGGTTTTCATTTACGCGGCAGATTTCGGAATTTTTTTGAAATTTTTCAAGTTCCATCTAAATGGTGGAGGGTATTAAAAGTTCGGCCCGGCCGAACTAAACTGCTTTTTTACTAGTTTTGAATAAGATAGACTTTTTGGCTGCATAAAAATCTACAAAAAAATTAAGAATATTATAAAATCTCATTCAATTCGGAACCATTCAAAGGATTCTCCATTACATCTATTTTTGTTTGTCTCTATATGAACAGCTTCTTAAATCTTAACCCTTTTAAAATGCTTAGAATTCCGATTTCCAAGAAAATGTCTTATTTAAGTAAATCTAACTTTATTTTAAAAATCGAATTTAAATTTGCTTCTATTATTTACAACATTCGATATTTAAAATTCATATTTCTTTTATTTCCACTACGAATCAACATATACATAGCCCGCAAAAAGGATAAGGGTGGTGGCGCAATGATGTTAATGGCTCTTATGTTCTCAAAAATGATGGCTGTCATGGGACTTGGTGGTCTTGGTGCCTTAGCAATGAAGGCTTTGGGTGTATCTATGATGGCTCTGATGATGGCTGCACTTGTTGGAGTCAAGTCACTAGCCTCTCAAGGACATGAATCCTCACACAGTGTACAGTACGTCTCAGCTGATGGTCATCACCATAAGAGACGCCGGCGACGCAGTGTCGGTAATGGTGTCGATGACGATAAATATCGTATTGGATCAAGGGAAATGTTGCAACACGATGTCAAGTCAACATTGCCATTGGCGTACAGAGGCTGGTCGCCAAAACTGACAATATGAACAACATGAAAATAACAAATGAATTAATAACGACTTTTAGACTTTTAATAAATGTACTTATTTATTTATAAATTTATTTATTTATTTATTTTGTGGTGTATAAAATAAGAGATCAACGACAATTTAAATATTTTCATATGTTAAATTATGTTTTTTTATATTGCAAATAAAAAAGTTAATTTAAATTTATGGAAAACTTTTGTTTAACTAATTATTATTGTTGCTCTTAAAATATCAATGTGTGTCGTGTTCTTCGAATTCCATAAGCAAACATCTATTCTAGAAACATTTACTTTCCAATATAAAAGAACGTCTGATCAGAACTTATATAGTATGGAGGGTATATTAAGTTTGTCATTCCGTTTGTAACATTTTAGACCCCACAAAATATATATATTCTTAATCAGCATAAAATTCGACGTCGATTTAGGGATGCCCGTCCCTCTATCCGTCTCTACGTCTGTGGAAATCACTCTATCTTCCGAACGAAATGAAGAAGGTTGATAAAATTTTACTCAAAAGTATATTATGTCTGCAGGACCTTTTGGTATTGAAAATGGGTCATGTACCTTCCTATTTTCGGTATTTTGGATATTTAAGCGACATTATTCACCGAAAATGTTTCAAATTGGATATTTGAAATTCGTAATGGATACTACAGCCTAAGACAGAAAATTGTCTTTGCGGGTCTACGTCTTCGTATAGCCAATATATAACTGTACATCCTGATAATTGGTACTTTGATGATTGTAGAGACATTATTCACCGGATACTACAGCCTAAGACAGAAAACTGTCTGTGCAGCTTCACGTCTCCATATAACGGTATCTCCCGATATTTGATACTTTGATGATTATAGCGACATTACTCACCGGAATTGTTCAAATTTGGTATTTGAAGTTTGTAACGGATACTACAGCCTAAGACAGAAAATTGTCTGTGCAGGTTTTCGTATAGCCCCCATATAATGGTACCTCCCACATTATTGACCGTATTTTTAACTTTTCGCATTTGAATATTGTAATGACCTCTGATGAAAGTTACTCATGCAGGTCCACGTCGTCATATAGACCCTAATTTAACGGCTAAAAAAATTACAAATGGTGGTGGGTATTCAAATTTCGGCCCGGCCGAACTTACAGCTTTTTTACTTGTTATTTCATAACTTATTCAGTTTTAATTGAAAATTTTCTTTACTATTTGAAAAACAAACTTTAATAACTATATTATTTTTAGAAGTCAATCACATTCAAATGCTCAAAACTTTATTAACTTCTCAAAACAAACTACTGTTTTTTATTAAATTTTTCAATTTCATTTCCTTACTACCCCCGCCTTCAACTCTCACATGCTGCCATACTTTCGTAAGCTATTTATGGAAGCCCACAAATCCGAAAATGTCATATTTGTTGGTTTTGAAAATTACAAAAGAGAAAAACTGGTTCGTATTTTGCTAGACCACAACTTGAATTTAAGTTTTGTTTACTCCGAATTTTTTGTTCAACTGATAGAGACGTTGATAAAATTGCAGACAGATGCTGTTTTGTGTGTCTCTTCTGCACTAAAGTTTGGCCATACTCATTTTACTTATAGTTTTGGTTTGTTTTTCTTTGTGTTTTTTTTTTTTTTTTTTTTGGTATCTCAAATCGGTGAAAGTTTCGGTTTCGGTCCATTTAGTTTGACAAAGCTGACCACAATTCTGTTCTGTGGGATGTATAAATTCCATTAGGGAGTATTTTGGTATGTTGCCATAAATACATGCGCCAAAGTTGGCCCCCCAGTCCCATGAACTTACAAATTTTTAAAAACTATGCTTAACTTTAGTTTTCGTATATATTTTCCAGTTGTTGTACAACAAAAAATGCAAAGTCTTGCGGCTGCGACTGGCGATTGTGTCACCAAAACCAGATTAACTTACAAAAATCTGGACAAAAATATTGAATGGAATTTCTTTTGATAGGTAGTAAGCTGTGGTTATTCGGCTGGGACTCCCTTGTCTCTTTCGCTCTTTCTGCTACAGGTCATTCTGCTTGTCGCCCCACCATCTACTTCGAATTTATTCACTTTTGTTTTCTTTCATCATCGAAAGCCAAAAAAAAAAAAACAAATCATATTAAATTTCTTATAAACCGATTAAATATTATGCACTTTCACTGTTTTCTTTTGTACACAAAATATCATAATTTACTCCAAAAAAACATGTACACACACACGCACACATCTATACCAAAACTCTGAATACTGAATGGGTTTTAAACGGCAACAAATGAAGATCATTGTTATAATGATGATGATGGCGGCGGTGGTGGTGGTGTTGGCTGAAGTCTTTAAGAGTTTCGGCGACAGTAGTACTGGGCAGTTGATATTCAGTGTTGCCGTTTAGAATGCTAAACCCCATTTATAGTTCACCCATACCAAAATTTTGTAATGGATCGTAATGTAGCCCTCAGCAAAGCTGAATGATTAGTTATGACTACATAATATTTTCATAAAATATAGCATTATCTGTTATGTCAAAATTAGCCTAAGCCTATATTTATACTTTACACATCATTATGGTACAAAGTATTTTTATACCCTCCACCATTCCATAGAGGGTATATTAACTTTGTCAATCCGTTTGTAACTCCTCGAAAGACGAAAGACGATCTAGCGATATTCGTCTGTCTGTTGTAATCACGCTATCTTTCGAACGAATTTAGATAGAAGGCTAAAACATGCATAATTTACCAGTAAGCAGGTAAAGTTCGTAAACAGGCCATGTCGGTCCACGTTTTCGTGTAGCCCCTTTATAACTGTACCTCCCTATATTCGGTATTTTCATGATTTTAGCGATAGTATTTACCGTAATTATTTCGAATTTCTTATTCGAAGTTCGTAATGGGACTACAGCCTATGATAAAAGTTTTTATATGCAGATCTATGTCTTCGTATAGCCCCCATATAACGGTAACTCCCGATAGTCGTTATTTTGACGATTTCAGCAACATTATTCACCGGAATCGTTTCAAATTTCGTATTGAAAGATCTTAATGGGTACTACAACATATGGCAGAAAAAAAAAATCGCATGCAGGTCCACGTCTTCGTGTAGCCTCCATATGACGGTACCTCCCGATACTCCGTATATTCATGATTTTTGCGACATTATTCACCGTAATTGTAACGAATTTAAAGTTCGTAACTGTAGCCTATCACAAAAAATTTCGTATGCAGGTCCACGTTTTCGTGTAGTCCCCATATTACGGTTTTCATTTAAGTGGTAGTTTTCGGATTTTTTTTTAATTTGTCAATTTCCTCCGAAACTTTGGAGGTTATTAAAAGTTCGACCCAGCCTTACTTATCTGCTTTTTTAATTGTTTTGCATTTGTTTGTAACATGCACAAGGAAAGGAGATATACCCATAATTCCATGATCTCCATAGAAACGCATCATGGGTCGATTTGTGCATGCCCGTCGATTCGTCAATTTATTGTTTGTCCTATTGAGATACAACTTCGCACCACTAATTTATTAGGCCCTAGAGCAAATAAGATATATTTCATCACAACAGGTCTTATTCAATCAAATAAGTCTGATAATTTGTAATGAGTAAAATAAGTTCGTTTGCATGATCTGTTTTTAAGGAATAATCCATTTTTATACCCTCCACCAAAATGTGGTACAGGGTATTATGTCTCTGTGCATTTGGATTTAGTATACCGAAGGAAATGAAAAAAGCCAACAGTTCCTTTTGTGATCTCCATATAATCACATTCTGAGTAGATTTATGACTGTCCGTTCGTTCGTTCGTCCATCTATATATTTTTATAAACAAAGTACAGGTCGCATTGATTGCACGATTGAGATGAAATTTTCCACAAATCATTTGTTTGGCACTAGGACGAGCCCTAATGGCTCCCATATATTTGTTCGTTCAATTTTAATTATTATTACACGTATTATATTCATTCATTTCGGCACATCCGCCAACTTAAGCCCAGAAGTAAGAAGTAAAAATCGGTTCAGATTTAGCTCCTATACTTTTGTTTCATCCTTCTCGTCCGTAATATGCACTCCAAAAAAAAAAAAAAATAATAATATTTGGTACAAGACATCAGATATTGACTAAATATACCTGTGTCAAATCGGTTCAGATTTATGAAATTTTGTGAAATTCAGTTTCCATACCTCCGATATATATTTTTATAACCTACAACTTTATGTGTTATAGGTGTTATAAGTTAAATTGGGCCAACAATTTTGTAACACTTCGAAATATTGGTTCTGCACATAGTATGGTATATAATGATATTCTTATCCCGCCGCGCTGAGTCAATCAGCTATGTATGTCCATGTTAATTTGTAATAACGCTACAGGTCGCAATTATGGCCCGATCCTCAAGAAACATTGGCCGGAGGTGGGGTTATGGTCAGGCCTACTGTTTTAAGATATGATGGCAAAATATTTAGGGGTTAATATGACCAAAAGCGAATTTTTTCCTAATTTTGCAGTTGCTCTACAGGTCGCAACTATAGAACAATGGACGAGGAAGTTAGCATGAGTTTAGGGCTGGGCAGAAGCCTACCATTTTGGTTTGTCATCAGACGATAAAAAAAATATGAAACTTTGCACTAAACCGCGAATATTTTTAAACCCAGCGAAACTAGAAATTCATTCAATTATAGGTATATCCATGATATCGTATATATAACAAAATAGGTACAATATATTTCTACTGTACTGCATCGACAATCCTCACCAATTCGGAATGACCAGAAACTGATAGAATTTATATTTAAGTCGTATTTATCGTTCGATCCTTACTAAATTTTCAAAATTTATTTGGGGTAGGGTTATGATCAGAATGGAAGCATATTGTTTTTGAAGATAGTCCAATATTCCCAAAAAAATAAATAAATAAATAAACAAGTATTGAAAGGCTATAGTCGTGCGGGGCCGACCATATGATACCTTACAGCACTACAATAAGTTAGAAGCCCCCTTATTTCCAAATCCATTTTGGATGATTTCATTTTTGGGTCCTGTCATAGGGCCCTGCCCAGATGTTATCCTTAGGCATTTGACCGGAAGCATGCCCACAACTTTCACACGAAAGTTGTGGTACATTTTACAGCTAAATATTATATAGACTTCA